AGTTGCTCTGTATACCAGGCTGGCCTCAAACTCAGAGATCTGCCTGTTCTGCCTCCCAAGTGCTGGAATTAAAGGCATGTGCCACCACTGCCAGGCATGACACATTAAATTCTTAAACATCCCTCAGAAAGTGAATTTCACAAATCCTACCCGAGGAGCAATCATAAAATTTTCTAAACGAGTTGTGTATTAAAACACACACACACACATCCTACATAATGAAATATCAAGGAACTCTATAACCCCACAGATTACAGATTTTGCAGTTATGTTTCCATTTCCTCCTACAAGGAGGGGGAGGCCTGCTTTGCATAGAGGTTCCACTTTACAAATAGTTAAATAAAATTATTTTATACTATATAAGAATGGAGACCCTAAGACAAAGCTGTACTTCTATTTTGCAATGCCACGTTGTAGGGCACTGAAAAGAATATCAATCTTCCCATGTCTAAGTTTCAGCTGCAGCTCCTTACATAATCACGTGTCCTCTTCAAGATCAAGAGCAGCAGGTCTATTTGAGACTTTTTTTTTACAGATATAATGTAAATATTCTCTTGCCTAAAGGTTTTTAAGCTGTACAAACTAATTCTGTTTTTTGTTTTGTTTTTTATTTTTTGGGTTTTTTTTTTGTTGTTTGTTTGTTTTTTGTCTCTATCCAGGATTGGTGAAAAATCTCTAGCCAGACTTTTAATATATTTAATGGGAAGATGGGAAAGGGGCTAGAAAATGGGTTGTTTTATAGAGCCTAGGCAATTAAACTGAAGGAAGAGATACTCCCACTTCACAGAGCTGAGCAGAGGTTCAGTCATTGTAAACAAGCTGGGATTGCTGGAATCAACACATTGAATTTATGGCACCTCTGCCAAGATAATTGGCAAAGATCTCACCCAGTTGGATCAGGCTCCATTAGTAGAAGTGAGAGACATTAGATTTTCTTTGTTATTCATAAATCGCTAAATGGCCTAGTGCCAAGTATTTTCAAAATATCCATTAATTTTTGTTAATATAAGAGGGATTTATATTTTGCACCAAATATATAGTACTTAGTCTTACTTTGCATTTTCATGTGATATTGTCCCTCTGCAGATTTATTTCTATAAATCTTTATGAATGCATTTAACCATTTGGTAAGTTGTTTTCAAATACATCAGATAAATGATCTGATTTAATTAACTTAGGGCTCCCTGCATAGTCAGTGAATTTAGGGTGCCCTTACTTTCATTTCAGCAGTATTTAAGTCATTCAGAGTAACAAGAATGGCCAGTGCTTTTTATGGCTTGCCGGCTGTTTTGAAAGGCCAGACATGATTTGACTTCAACTAGAATAGTAGTCCTCAGCCTGTGGATCACTACCCATTGGGGATTCTAAGACCCTTTAACGGAGGTTGCCTAAGACCATTGGAAAACACAAATTCAGAATATTATGATTCAGAACAGTAGAAAAAAATTAAAGTTATGAAGTAGCAACAAAAATAATTTTATGGTTCTTGGGTGGGGGTCACCACATCATGAGGAACTATATTAAGGGGTCACAACATTATGAACATTGAGAACCACTGAATTTGAAAAATATTCACGGCATGGGTGGAGTGTAAGTTTTGGTAAGTGCAGTATCTTAAAGGGTAATTTATTATAAATTATGAGATAGCTCTCTTAACTCTGTGAGGCAGTGAAGGCTCACATAGATTGGAACATAGTAAATTGTCGATATTCTACAGGTTTTTTATTTAAAAGTGATGAGTTCCTTGATTTCAGGATTGAAGGGTTTAGATCTAAATATAATCTGGATGATGATTAGAGGTAGCTTTGTCATGTTTAGTGTATATTGATAATGCTGCATTGCCAACTGTTGTGGGACATTATTACAGGGATTAGCAAGACAGAGAGAAGAGAAGCCATCATTATAACTGGTCTCATGAGCTTTAATAAAATGGCGCCAAGTGGCAGCTTAACGTGTCTTCAAGGATTGAAGAATTTAAGGATTCAATGAATGAAAATTCTATCCATGAATTTTATACAATACCAGGAGAAAAGTGTCTAAGTTAGTTTAGATCTTTTTAAACAATTAGAAAACTAAATTCACTTTAATGTTGATTTTAAATTGAGAATACTTCATGTAAAGTAACCTGAATGATGAGCCTAGTTTATCTTATGTAAAAAGTAAGACGAAGAGGAAACAATTTTAACTGCATGTTGGTGTTGATGAAATAGGCATCTTGGTCTGGATTCAAACAGGCATAGCACAGAGCAAAGTAATTAACTTTTGCTACCTGGCACCATGCTAAAGTTGCAAATAAAATAAATAAATTCTTTCAAGTTTATTTCTGACATGTTACTTTGATTATATATTTGGAAAAATAATGAAATATCTGTGTATATATATCAAATATATACATATAGTCCTCATTATATCATATATACATATATGTATAATCATTAAGATGCAATCACGTACACAAGATGAAAATTACTTAGGAGGCATTCCATATCTTCCTTTTCTCGTGATTTGTTTCTCACTTATTATGCTATTAGAAACTGACTGAGAAGAGCTAAATTCAGTTTGTTTGAAAATATGAGAAATAGCAAACTCTTCTTACACATTAATATGGATGAGTAATAAGACATAAACAAAGAAAATAGAGGTATTCAAAACCCAAATTGCAGAGCCAGAAGAAGGGCATAAGATTTGTGTCACAGTAAAGGGAGCAGAAGCCTGGTAAAAATGACTTCAGTCTTAGCTTTACAGGCACCTTGGCCCCCGTCCCACGCCTTTGCACACTGACAATCACGGCAGAGGGCACAGTTTTTGATTCAATATGTTTCTAGAGATGGCAGGACTCCCTCTTTAACCACATGTCAATTTATGTGTCCCAACAACATTCAGATAGAGAAGTTTTTTTTTTCTTTCTTCACTTTAAAATCTGTGTGATTCCAAGTCTTCTGTTCATCTGTTGATGATACCACTGACCTGCTGGGGGATCAGGCCCTCCCCAGGGCTTGATGATATTGTGTGTATCAGATTAAGTATCATGCCCAAATTTAACCACTAGGAATTGTATGATTAAATCTGAAATTGCATTTTGAGCTATTCTTTGAATATTTTTCCATCTTAAATATATGAATCTATATTTGTTAGACAACAGAGATAATACTTCATTGCCCAGATAAATGCAGTCATTTTCATTGAATTTTAGAAAGTTTCTAATTTCTTTCTTTTTTTCTTCCTTGACCCATTAGTAACTCAGATGAGCATTGTTCAATATTCATGTGTTTGTTGGCTTTCTGAAATTAGTGTGGCTGTTGAATTCTATCTTTAAGCTGTGGTGATCCAATAAGATACATGGGGTTATTCCAATTTTTTGTATCTGTTGAGTTTTGCGTTGTTACCTAGGATGTGTCAATTTTTTGAGAAGGTTCTATGAGGTGCTGAGAAGAAGGTATATTTTTTATATTTGGATGGAATGTTCTACATGTGTCTGTTAAGTCCACTTGAGTCATAATCTCTGTTAGTTCCCTTCTTTCTCTGTTAAATTTCTGTCTGGCAGACCTGTCCAGTGGTGAGAGTGGGGTGTTGAAGTCTTTCACTACTAGTGTATGTGTCTTAATGTGTGATTTAAGTTTAGTAATGCTTCTATTACAATAGTGGGTGCCCTCATATTTGTGGCATAGATGCTACCCTTAGTACCGTATATTAATATAGGTTGAGAATGTGATAAAGGTTCAAATTGTTTTTGATACAGAAGAGTAATGTACTTTTACATTAGATATGAAAGTGTATTTTTGTCAGAGGTGTAGCAGTTTGGTGAAGCCATAAAGCTTAGCACGAGTTATAACACGGGGAAGGGTGGTCATGGGATATGGCTGAACTGTTTAACAAAGTGGCTCTGAGCAGACTGCAAAAGGTCTACAGAATACAAAATAAATAAATAAATAAATAACTGTAAAGTAATTGAATGTAAACCAGGAAAAAAATTACCTAACATAAGAAGCAAGGGGATCAAAAACATGATAGTTTACTTTAACAGAGATTTTATTTAAAAAAGCAAAATAAAAGCATAGTAAGTAGTCAGTCATAAGGAAAAATAGGAGAAGAAAATCTAATGCTTGGTAAGTATATTTATCAATATGAAATCGTGACTGAACCAATGAGGACACTAGCCTTGGGAAACCTTCTCTGTCCTGGTCTGAGGATGAACACCACATTCCCTTTAACCCTTTGATGAAGTTGCTGGGGCTCACCACAGGGAGTCATGCATAAGTGCTAGGAATTTTCACTGTGGCAGTATTTTTAGCCATTGTTAGATGATATCTACAAAGTAAATGCTAATAAGCACAAGAGCACAAAGAAGGTCAGCAAAGAAGATCCACTTTCTGTAGAGCACTAAGACAACAAGTGTCCGGCAATTATGCCCACAGACAGTCCCCAGCTTAACAAAGGTGAGCCTGAGGCCTCTCTTCATTCAAGTTTTATTGTGGCAGCATTCCTTAAAACGTAAGAAGCATGTGGACATTTACTTGGGTGAATTATGACTTTTTTTCCTATGGACATGAATGGGTTTGTTGAGATATAATGCCATTCAGAAGTTTGGGAACATTTGTAGTGAATAGGGACCTTCCAGAAGCCAACTTTTCACCAGATAAACGAGCACATACTTACTTGGTCAAGAAGCCAAAGAAGAGCTTCAGAGAATGGATAAATGTATAGCAGAGACATATATTGATAGATGTAAATTAATGACGAGACAAATACATTTTCTTTGTTTTACAACCTTCAGTCCAATGTTTCTGAACAACTTCTCCATCTATCTCTACCTATTTGTCATGTGTTGGGATTTATGAAATATTTTTAAGGGCTCTCTAAGCATTTTCAATTACCATACACATGCCAGCTGACTCAGCGCATGGTTTCCGTAATCACTACATCATGGCATCCCCAGGCAGGTCCTTGCGGAACTAGGTTTCAATGCCTTCTTTGTCTTATTTATTCCTTTTTCCTTCCAGGTGAAGGTGTGGTTCCAGAACAGGAGAATGAAGTGGAAGCGGGTCAAAGGAGGGCAGCAAGGAGCCGCAGCTCGAGAGAAGGAACTGGTGAATGTGAAAAAAGGAACCCTTCTCCCTTCAGAGCTGTCAGGGATTGGTGCAGCTACCCTCCAGCAGACAGGGGACTCGCTAGCAAATGACGACAGCCGCGACAGTGACCACAGCTCAGAGCACGCACACTTATGATATATACAGAGACCAGCTCCATTCTCAGGAAAGCACCATTGTGACGGCAAGCCTTACCAGAACATCGTTTACATGGCAGAGGACTGTGGCAGTGTTGCTTTGATAGAATCAAATGCAGGCATTTCAAGTCTTGTTTCCCATGATCGATAAAAGGTTTACACTAAGTGCCTCTTATGGACGATGCTTCCACAGCGAAATTGGAGAAGGGGAACTGTTCAAATACAGTTGTTCCTATGTATGACAAAGAGGGAGACGAGTCATTGCTTTGGCTTTCTCTGAAAATTAAATGCTACCGAGAACCAACTTGGTAAGGCGTTTTTATCCAAGACGTCTCCAGAGTGAAGATGTTAACAATTAAATGTGCTTTGAACATTCCAGTTGTGCCAGGTCATGTGTGTGACACTGGGCAGGTATTTGCTTTTGCTTGCACTGAAAGACTGCTATCAAGTTAACCCATGACATAGTTTATCCTGAAGAGCCGCAGTGCCTGAAATCACCAAGTGGATTGAAAGTGTATTCAAACTCTGTATATACTACCCCTAAATCATTTTCCTGTCTTCACTAATGTTAGCAAATGCATTCATATTAGCTGATGAAAATAGGCTCTCCCATTGACAGTCACAGCCAGCTTTCTGTATTTTTATACATTCTTGTGAGTCACAGGCAACCAGTATGCGCTTCCCTGTGTTCAAGTAGAGAAAATGCAGTAGTCTGTCTGATAGGACATGTTCTTGTAGCACAGACAAAACAAATCTCCTGTTGCATTTACTATCAACTGCTGCTGACACATTATAGAACTTAAATAGCCCCTCAGTCCTTCCTCTCTTATAGCTTGAAAAGCCTTAGGCTCCTAGGCAAAGCAGTTACCGTGCGGAAAGAGTCTTGTGGGCAAATGTCTAATTTTGTATCTTTAAATTGTGAGTGTTTATGGATGTGATTCAGTTAACAGGGAAAGGATTTATTCCTCATTGTTTATGACATCAAACCAAGTGCCAAACAAATCTAATTCTCCAAGAGAATGGATGAGAGATTCTGAATGTCTGAAAATTAGACTCAGCAAAACACATTATTTTTCATATGCTCTATATTCATGCAGAACAAGTCTTTGTATTTTGTAAAAGAAAATGTTGAATAAATGATCCTTCAAATAACTGTTGTCTCCCTACTGTGACTTCATTGATTTGAATAGATGTATTTATTTATCTGTAACCAGGATGGGTCTGGGACTCCTCAGGTTTTCCAGCCTGGCCTTGATATCACAGCTATCTCTAGCCTCACTCAACCTGCCACATGCTGGAATCGCAGGTTGGAACGACCATGACTAAAAATAATTTTAGTAGATTTTAAAAATATATACTTAAAAATTTCCCTAATTTTTTGCTTCTGTGTAAATCTAAATGGATATGAGTGATGAATCTTTTATGGTGCATAATTTCTGATTTTTTTTTATCATGGCACAAAAATAATCTTTGAGAGACCAAAGAGTTTCTAAGACAGTGGTTATACTAAACACAGTTTGGTAAAAGAAATGGTAATATATTTCAGCAACTGTGTTTGAATTTCTGTAGTAGTAGTAGCCAAACAGTCATACATTCCAATACCAGTATTAGTTCCAAAGTTCTATTTTGTACTTACTTAATTTTTCAGTATTTAGTGTCAAGCCCAAAGACTCATCAATGGTCCATGTGTTCCCAGCTACTGATCTACCTGACCAGACGGAAAACAGATGTTTTACATTTTTAATATCTAGTCTTCGGTGTGAAATATGAGCTAAACAAGCTAAAGAGAATCCTAGGCTCAAATAGATATTGCTAATGGAAGAAGTAAAAGATGGCCCATTGCACATTAGTGTCAAAGTCCTATTTATAAATTTGTCACTTTGCTTTTGGTTTTCTGTTTGCTTGTTTCACCAAGTAGTTAGGGACTTACCAATGCAGTCCCCAATTAGTTTGAAACAGTGAAAATTCCCACTGTCATTATGTGATTAACTTTATTTCCTTTATAGTAATTAGGCTAATAAAAACTTACCCAGTTTAACTTGCAATGTGATGTCAATAGTATTCAGGAAATAAGGTGAACAACTGTGTTATTTGTATCATTTTTCTTCTTCTGTACAATAATCTTTATCTCATTAAACATTAATATTTCTAAATTAACATTGATGAAGAGGTCATTCCCATTGGCATAGAAGAGATATTTTCTTGTCAATCATGTGAATGAATATAAAGTGTATTTGTACTGATAACATACTTAAGTGGGTTGATGTGAAACAAAAGCAAGTGCTTTTATCAGAATTATAGCCTATTGTGACCAATAAATTCAATGAAAATGATTCTCAAAACATTCAAGAGGGAAATGAGGCAAGTGTAGGATGGATGATACCTTTATGTGGATCCTAAAATGAAACATTGTTTCCAGAGAAACAAACAGATGTGAAGGTTCATGTGACTAACACAAAGTACAGCTTGCTGACATGGATTCAAATGGCCCATTGGAGACATGGTCACAGTCAACATCCCAACAAGTGTGATGGAGGAGGGTTAACTGTCTATGCGTTACCATGAGCAGAGTTGCAGTAATTGCAGGAAGGCTTTTGGTTTTCGTTCTGCAGTACTGAGCATTGAGTTAAGTGCTGTCTGTAAAATATACACACTTCTTAATACCGAACTACATCACCATCCCTCAGAGTGATAGTAGCTAGAACTTAGCATATTTTGCAGTATCTTAGTCTTTACCTACCTTCCAAGTGAGACATAAACTATAGAGGCTTCATTCCTTTTCTAGAATTTAAATGTTTTAGAACAATTAAAATACTGTTAACAATCATCTAGGATATTCCATAAGTGCTCTTAATCAAGAGAGAAGGGATTGTGTGTGTGTGTGTGTGTGTGTGTGTGTGTATGGTGGGGTCTTCAGATTATGACATCTTATACACTGCCTGTGTTTTCTTGTAATTACTTCCCAGATGCCATGGCAACACCATTCTCTGAAAAAGGTATGAAAGCATCATGGATAAGTTAGCATGATTTCCCAGTAGGACTCAGAGGAATGAAGAAATGAAGACTACATATTTTCTTTGCAAATCATCAACATGACTCAAATTATTTTTAACTTCCGATAGTTAGCCAGAGCTTTTTGTGGAGTTGATCCCAAATGTTACTTTGAGCCATGGGTTGCTAAGTCATTTTTATTGACTTTATTTTTGTCCAAAGATAGCTGGTATAACTGAATAATTTCTTTTGCCATTTTAAACTCAATATTTTCTTCAGATCTTACAGGATACAATCAAATATACTAAACAAAAGAATAGAAATGACATCAGAAAATCATCACCATATCAAATAATAAGGGCCTTTTTAATTTTTTATTACTTTATAAATAATACCAATCAAAATTTCTGCTTCTTCCCCTCTTCCCACTTTCCTCCCACCCCCCTCACACTCCGCCTCCAGTTCCGAGAGAGGGCAGGGTACCCTGCCCTGTAGGAAGTCCAAGGCACTCCCCCCTATATCCCATACTTGTTCAGTCCCAGTCCAGCTGGCTTTGGTGAGCTCCCATTAGATCAGGTACGCTGTCTCAGTGGTGGACCAATCCCTCGTGGTCCTGACTTTCTTGCTCATATTCTCCCTCCTTCTGCTCTTCAACTGGACCTTGGGAGCTCAGTCTAGTGCTCCCATGTGGGTCTCTGTCTCTTTCTCCATCTGCCGCCGGACAAAGGTTCTATGGTGATATTCAAGATAGTCATCAGTCTATTTTGGGGTTGGCAAGAGGCTTGGCTCTGGAGAGGTACTCAGGAGTTCACGGGGATGACCCTAACTAGGACCCTGGGCAATGGAGGAGAGGGTTCATGAACTGGCCTTGTCCCTTAGTCAAACTGATGACTATCTTGAATAATGAGGGCCTTTAACATATTATTTAATATGTAAACTTTAGTTTTACTTTGTGTTTGCAATTTTCTATTATCATGCATTTTTATAGTTGTAAACATGTCCTTTTCTTCCCTTTCCTTCTTTCTTTCATTCGTTTGCTTGTTTCTTTATTTTGTATCCTAACCACAGTTTCTGTTGCCTCCTCTCCTCCCAGTCCTTCCCCCCACCCCCTCTCTGTCCACCCCATGCATGCATTCCTTCCCAGAAAAGGGCAGGCTTCCCATGGATATTGACAAAACTTGGCATATCAAAGTGTAAAAAGACTAAGCACCTTGCCTAGTATTAAGACTGGGCAAGGTGACACAGTATGTGGAGGAGGGTCCCAAAAGTCAGCAAAGAAGTCAGTGACAGCCCCCACTGTTAGGAGTTTCACAAGAAGACCAAACTATAGAACTGTCACATATATGTAGAAGACTTAGGTCAGACCCATATATGCTTCCTGGTTGTCTCTTTAGTCTCTGCGAGCCAATATGAGCTCAAGTTATTTGATTCTATGGTTTTCTTTTGGTGTTCTTGACCCCTCTGACTCCTGCAATCTTGACTTCCTCTCTTTAGCAGGATTCCCTGATGACTGCTTAGCTGTGGTTCACGCATCTGTTTCCTCCAGTTGCTTAATGAAGCCCCTCTGATGACAACTGGGGTAGGCCCCAATCTATGAGAATAGCAGAATATTGTTCGGCATCATTAGGTTGATAGTGTTTTTCCTCCAATTGTGTTTGGGTCTATCCTAGGTGTCTGGGCGACCCAGTCTCTCAGGCCTGGCGCTCTAGGCCGCATTAAGGGTGGACTCACTCTCATGGCCTGGTTGTCAGGCCAAAGCAGTTATCAGTTGGGCATTCCCACAATCTCTGTGCCCCCCTTATCCAAGCACATCTTATAGGCAGGACAGACTGTTGGTCAAAGTTTATGTGGCTGGGCTGGTGTCCTATCCCTCTACTGGAAGGCTTACATGGTCACAGACATTTCTTTAAGTGTTTTGTGGCTATTTGAGATTCTCCTATTGTGGTGACTCAACCATTAAAGGCTAGGCTTACAACCAAAATCATGGTGTATTTTTGAAATTGTTTTACCTTGACAGTTAAAATACTTTAAATTTCTTAAATACAGACCAGCATAAACATGCTCTTACATGTCTGATTGTTCCATCAATATAAGCTGACCTTGTTTCATTCAGGTCTAATTTCAAACTAGAGCAAAAATCACAGAAAAACTTTTTGTTACATTCAAAATATTCAGTAATCTCTAGGCAAAATATTTTGTTTTTATTAAGAACAGGTCCAGAATTGGTTTCTGAAATTAGAATGGCTCCATACATACAATTTTTTCGTAGACACTTAATACTGTCATCATCATACCACATCTTGGTTAGGGAGGGGGTATTCTACAACACTCTTACAGGCAGGCATCCTTATTATTCCTTTCTGTTGATGTACATCAGGGAGATAAACATACAAATTATCTTTAAATTAGAGTGTAATCAGAGGGCTTAGAGATGCTTATTTTTTCTCACCCTCTCTTTTAATATACTATTAGTTGAGACATCATTTATTATAAATTGTAATTTAGTGGATATAGTTTTAAATACATCATGACTTGCCTCAGGTTGATGAAATATTAGATACAAACTGTCCCACGCTACTGCAAGAACAACGTGGCACACTTAGGATCCTTCTGCAGAAAAGCTTTAATGAGTCTTGAGAGAGAGAGCATAAGCTTCCAAAGCGGAGACCCAGAATGAGGGGAACCCATCCATTATATAGGAAACAGTCCTCGCTTCGGACGTGTCACTCTTGGATTGGTCCGCTGCCCATCAACCCAGATGACGCCTCGGGAGTAAGCGGGGATGCAGCAGTGGAAAATTACCAATCACATGCACATTATCTTGCTCACCTGGTGGTGAAACCGGATGCCAGCGCCATCCTGTAATGGAGAATGTGGTTGCGGCCCTCCACAACAAACAGTTATTATAGCAGAGCTACTAGCACTAGTTGAATGATCTCTTTGACTTTTATTTTCTTTAGTGTGGAATCCAATTTTCTTTGGATTTTCTAACATTAGAGTACGGCAATACCTTATGGTCACATGTCTACATGATTTAGTAGAGTAGATGATGATCACAAAAAATGAAGAAGTTGACAGAGAATGTGTTATGTCCTCCAAGCAAATACATCTGCAACTGAGATAATACTGA